CTTCAGGGTGCGACCAAATTTGGAGGGTGGAACGGATTAACCGGATTACATTGAACCCTATGGGGAAATTTGTGTCGGGTTACGACCAACTCGGGATATGCCCAGAGTCACGGAACACATTAAGTTCGTATCCCGAGAAACCACTGTATTTCTATCCTCAATGCAGGTATGCTGTAATACTGTAATCTTTTTCTAAATGTGCGCACTTCACACAGACTACAGTTTTGAAATGAACTAACACATATAATTACTTACAAGAAAGCGGGAAGTACTGTTTAACAAACAGCGAATTCTGCAAGTAAAACAGCGAGTTAAAAAAGAGGAGAAGTCTGTTTGCATGCTGTCACCCTCCTGTATGCTACACATTTTACTGAGAATGAGTTCTTCACCTAAAAATAATACAAAAAATAGGTTTCAAATTTTGACAACAAAGAATGATAATTTTTTAAAGCAAATTTATAGAAAGAATGGCAGTATGTATACAAGAAAGTGATTACTGGATGGGAATGGGTGGGAACATGAAGAATTGAAGACAACAGAAGATGATGATATGAAGAACTGGGGAGGGCAGAAGAACATAAAGTGGCAAGGAAGCTAAAACAAAATGGTGGCAGGAAACAGGGTAAAAATTAGGAATGAAGAATGATGAGGGTAAATGGGATATGTAACATTTTTACTCCACCCCCATAAAAGTTATTGCAGGTTCTTATTGAATTAATCAGATATACCTGTACTGGTTTGTAAATGTCCAGATAGTAACTGTGGCGGATTCATGGCCCAGTGCAGTTGTCTGCAGAAATCCTGCCTGTCATCCACATGAATGTACTCATATATATTTTGATGCATTACATCAGTCTGAAATAATTACAACATTTATTACTTTATTTTCTTTGATCTCCGAGTTCTTTTTTTTTTAAATAGTTTTGGGTTTGGGAACTTTTCAAATACAAATATTATAGAAATACCATGCTAAATTTTTAAATAAATAAAATAAACTTCAGTAACTTTCCTGGTAAGTAACTTATTAATCCCCAGTTTAGTCTTTTTTCTTCTTAACATTCTTTGATATTACTGTTATTATTTGGAGCCAGGAAAGGGTTTCAGCTTGAAAGGAAAATATAAGATGGCTAATGATGAGCTCTCAAACCCTTAGTACTGAGGAGCATCTACGAGTAGCTGGATTCTTACTTGTCACTGACAAGGAGTGATACATGCTTTCTAGAAATATGAGAACAATAAAATGTATAGATGCTATCCAATATGTGGATTTTACCATTTAAAATCCACATTTCAGTTGTATGTAAACTCAACATTCTTGGGTTGCATTTCTATAGCTTTGTTTTGTTACTAAAGGAAGTTTCCAAGCACTATGGTGATGCCTTTCGAGACATTCTTCAATTTTTCAAGACTCATCCCTAATGCTGTCCAAAATCACTTCAGTATTAAGTTATTGCATTTATTATCTTTAATAAATGCAATAACAATTATCTTTAATGTATAATACTGTGCTTTTAGATCATTATTATAATTTTGGGCAGTGTATTGCATAATAGTTTAATTCTTCTTATGATATATTATTAAAAAGGTCCAAAACAAATACTGTATTGCAAGAATGGGACAGCTGACAAAAAAAAAGTCACATAACTGAAGAGTGAAGCAAATATGCCATGATAAAACATTAAGGGGTTTGTACAGCAGGTACACAAATAGAAGGCGATTTGATTTTACTTTTCTCTTCCTCTTCTACCATTCCCTGCAGCTCCTGAAATGTCTCCTCAGAAGACTGAGAAGCCTCTGCAACAAATATAGAGGATCCCAATGCAGGGTAGAGGAATAATTTGAAATTAGCTACAGAAGCCTTATTTTTTTCATTTATACATATTTACCTGGTGAAATCCTAGATAGTCTACTATTGTTGGTGATGCATAAAATATCATTCCATCAGCACTCACTACTAATGCAAAACCATTCAGTGACTGGGGAAGAAAAAAGCAAAAGAAGAAATGATCAAGTAGAACAGTAAAAAAATAATATATATTCTTCATGTATTGTAATATCCCTTTTTTCAAGTGTTTTTTTTTTTTACCTGAAAAGCGGATCTAGGGGTGGCAAATCTGAACGCAGCAGTAGTATAGAAAGGAATGCTGAACCCTTTTACTGACATTCATTTTCCAAAATAAAATCTATCCATCCAAATTTCTCTCTCCATGTCCCCAAGTAAAATACTGGTATCAGCCCGCCAGAGGAAAAGCATCTCAGCTTTTTGGGAAAAACAGCCACCCTGAAAATAATTTCCATACTTCACTTTTCTTGAGATAATCTTCTCAAAGCTGCTCTTAGTTTTTAAAAGCACCAGCAACAAATTTGTGTTTAACATTTAGTCACATCTAAATAGCTTTGTGACAAGAAGTTGACTTGCAGAGTCTGGAGATAAAGCGATGTGTTCCAAATTTCTAAAATCAAGACATAATGTTTAGGGGACTAAAATGATAAGTACAGGTCTTGCATAATGAACAAAAACTCCTAAAGCTAGCTTGACTGATAATTCTAAAGAAAAACTTGAAGCTAAATTAGTGCCAGTAATACACAGGATGATTTGCTCTGAAAAAAATCTATTCATGCACTAGCCTAGCTCTCTTCTGTGAAAAGGTAAAACTTCTCAGGAGGCACACACTGTTTTTCAGCTCCTGTGTTAGATGCTTTAAAACTAAATTATTAACAAAAGTATGTAAATATGATAAGCACTGGTTATGTGACAGAGTTGTTTCTTCCTTGTGGCCTATGTGCCACAATGTTCTGCATAAGGCTTGCTGGATTTTTCTAGTGCTGAGGCCTAGCTTTAAGCAGGAAGAATATTCTTAGTGAGCATATCTCTCCACTTCTCCTGAAGAATTAGGCAACCCCTTGATGTTTGTCCAACACAGTTTTAAAATTAGAACAGGACATTTCAACCTGCAATATTTTTATTAAGCTTTACTAAATCATGTATTTCCCCAAAGTATACTGAATTAGTTTTCAACATGCTAACTGCTGCAAGAATCCTTTGTGCCTTTTATTGAAAAGGACATTTGAACCCCTCTATGGAAGCATGGCTAACCAAGTTGTGGGAGTCTGTTTCGATGTCCAGAATAACTTATCTTAAACGTAAATCTAACACAGAATATAATTTAAACTGGAAATCATTCCTAGACTATAACACAATACACAGAGTTGTACCACATCCAAATATGGCTTTCTCTATGTGTAAAGACTATATTTCATTTTTATAGGATTTCTAAATTAGGACTTGTTCAGTAAAATGGGCAGTGTTTATTATAGTTCATATTTTCATTCTGTGGTTCATACTGTGCTGACCACAGTTCCTAATATATACATTTTGTTTAGGGCCTAATGGCAATTTTCAGGATTTTAAAATTATGTAATATATCTATGTAGTTATCCACAATCAATACTATACTGGAAAGTTTGTGTTGTATTCTTTTATCCCTTTTTATTGTTCTTTTCTTTGTTCATTTTCTTTGAAATGTCTAATAATTCTCTGATAAACAATATAAAACAATATAACTTTCAACTCTGATACATATCAGAAAAAATGGGTTCTATGTGGACTCTTCAGTGAGGTGTTACAAAGCATGGGATGTGACCAAGCAAGAAAAGTTCTGAAGGAGAGAATTCTGGACACAGAAGGGCAGTAAGATACTAGCGTGGCACAAAGGCAACAAACGGCGCCACATGGATACATGCAGAGCTCTCTAAAATGCTGAAGTGAAAAACAGGCAAATGGAGGAAGTGAAAGGAGAGGCACCTAAGCAAAGAAGAATATAACTCATCTCCAGAAATTACAGGACCTCTGTGAGAAAAGCTGAAGTTCAGAGTGAGTTGATGCTTACAAGAAATGCTAAAAATAAAAAGAGGGGTTCTTTGGATGTTAGAAATTATAGGAAAGCCATAGAGGGTGTAGCTCCATTGTGAGGAGAAAACTGGTGAACAACAATGGGGGTTAGAAAGAAGGCAGAACTTAAGTCTTATTTTGCATCTGTCTTCTCCCAGAAGGGAACTGGAGCCCTGGTTGGTTATCATTATGCTTCTATAGAAGGAGAGAGCTGCAGCTTAGAATAGATAAGGAGAGGGTAAAAGAGAATTCAGCTAACTTAAACCAATCCAAGTCTCCATGATGAGATGAATTACATCCCAGAGTACTGAATAAATTAGCAGGGGTGATAGTAGAACCATTCTTGGTAATCTCTGAGAACTCCTGGAGAACTAGTGAGGTAATACAAGACTGGAGAAGAGCAAATATCTGCCTCTTCAAAAAGAGATGGAAGAGGACCTGGGAAACTGCAGAACTGTCATCTTGACAACTATACTGGGCAAGATTCTTGAACAGATTATCAAGCAGCATGTTTGTGATTGCTTGGACAGAGATTAACAGGAGTCAATATGCGTTTACCACAAAAGAATTCTGCTAGACTAACCTTCTCTCCTTCTCCGACAGAGTTACTAGCTTAGTAGATAAGTATGTAGATATACTGTACCCAGATTTCAGCAAAGTCTTTACAGTCTCTCATGATATTCTACTTAATAAATGGTAAAATAAGGGCTTGATGAGACCCCTGGGAGATGTGTCACAGTTGGCTGAATGAGCACACCCAAAGTGTACTCAGTAATGGGTCCACTTCAGCCTGGAAGCAAGTACAAATGCAGTGCCACAGGCTCTGTGTTGATTAACACTTTTATCTGTTACTTCAGTGAGGGAGTTGAGGAGACACTTCAACTGTAGTGTTTGTAGATAACACAAAGCTAGAAGGGATGGCTAATATTTTAGATAAAAAAGAGAAGGTTTTTAAAGCTCCACATAGGCTTGGACAGTGGGCTGAAATGAATAAAATTTATCAGGGAGAAATGAACTAAGTACAGAATGGGGGAGATCTGGTTTGACAGTATGAAAGGGATCTGGGATCCTTTTGATCACAAGTTAAACATCAGCCAGCAGTGTGATACAGCTCCTAAAAAGGCAAATGCTATCTTAATAAGAACACAGTGTCCAGTGAATGGGAAGTAATTGATGCTTCACCATCAAATTACTCACTGACTTTTCTTCCAGTGTGTCAGCCAATCCTTGAATGTTTTGCCTCTGCCACCAGTATGCAGTGCCTGAGACTTTTATTGACAGCTGGAGAGGCAGAAGTTCCTAAAAGATACCTTTATCTTTTCATTGAGGGAACTGTTTCTGTATGCCCAACTTCTCTCATAAAAAGGGTGCTCAATTAAGCTATTCCACTGTATCCTCCTCACCTCAATGGTGGGTGAGACAGCTATTTTTCACACTTCTGATTCTGTCTGGCAGGGCATTCCATTATTCCACTAATAGCATGGTTCATCCTATGCAAAAGTTTCTGACACTGCCAGATCATTATTCTCTCAAATGGTTTTTAATATTCTCATTCAAGATGGGGATAGGCTGCAGTGCTACCTACTGCAAATCCTCCAATTCTTCCTAAGGTTCTTTCTCATGCCTTTTTGATGTAACCAAGTGTTTGCAATCCATTTCTTACAGTGGCCGAATGGTTGCACCTGCCCTTTGTTTACTAATAGTCCTGTCACTTCTTCAGGTACTTGCCTTGGTAAATCTATTATGAAATTCTTGGGCAGCTGTGACAATCTTATGATTGCTGCACTTCCATGCACACTAGGCACTTCCCATCTTCCCAATGGACTTCCCAACTAAAAATCAGCCTCAGCTGATGAAAATTCCAATGATGTTTCTGCATAGATACAGAGTTCATGTGTGTGAATGCACTGATAATTACTCAGAGAAATATAGGATAGTTGCTGCTCAGCAGATTGAAACAGGCTGTTACAGTATTTGCAGTATAGATGTAGTGCAGTAATCAATAGTAAATTCCATTTGGTAAGTAAAGGATTATTTGCCTATATTTTATTTTGGGCAAGTTAATGTTTCTCAGCCTCTATCTCTTTCAGTTCAAGAGTGTTAATTTATCTTGGGAAAATTATTAATTAAATATGAACATGCTGGAAAGCAGGATCATAACAAGTATTTATGAGGTTCAGACTTTCTCAGTTTTAACTTCGTAACTGTATTTGCAAGGTTACATCTTTAAAATGTTGCTTCTCACCTCTAGTAAAAATCCACCTTCTGGTATGGCAGGTTCCTTAAGTAAGCCAACTTCTTTTATATCATGACTTGTTTGGTAACTCAAATGCTTTTCTTGAACAGCTGTTGGTAATAATAAATTGATATTTAATATAAAATGAAAATTTATGAGCACAGCAATTCTTAACATTGACCAAGGACCCCAAACCCTGCCAGAAAGAGATTGCCAGGGCAAATGTCAGAAACAATGTATTTTACCCTTTTTCCTAAAGGAGGGGAAAGATAATTCTCTTCCAACAATGAGAAAGAACGTACAGTATTTAAAGTAGTCATTTGGCTATTCTACATGTGTTGCCTATGTTAGACAGGGGAAAGAACATAGGATTTTAGATTTAAGGGACCTTCCTTACCACCACCTTTTCTGCTTTCCAAACTCAAGATTTCCCAACCTTTGAAAGACAGCCATAGAAGCCAAAGAGGTATGATATTGGTTATCTCTGTTCAAAGCTTAAGCAATTTTTCAGACCTCAGAGGCAAGAAGCCAAGGGATCCTACACCACAAGAGTGCTGCTCTAGAGGTCACAACATTAATCCCTTAAGAAACCCTTCGCATGAGGTTTATTACCATTAATCTCACATTATGTCAGCAATATTGTTGAAACCCTGGATGTTCTGTGGAATATGGCTGGCCCACATAGTTGGCCCTATCATTCCTTAACACACACTCAAGATCAGCCTCTTCATTTACTAGGGAGCAGAGAGCCATAAAGTGGGTGGTATCAGGCCTAGCCCAAGAAACTCCTGGAGACCGTGCAGGTTCAATCAGCAAGGTTC